AAAAATATGTATTTGTGTTCTCTCTCCTCTCTCTTTTTTTTCCTTCCCTGAGAGAACATTTGAATCCTGGACGAAGTTCGAGCTCTGCCGCCTGACAACTGCGTAACACAACCCAGGGCACTTGAACCGCCGCCCCGAGCGGCGCTCCCTCCGCGGCGCCCCCCCCCCGCCCCTGCCCCGGGAGCGTCCAGGACAGGGGGCCTCCCTCGGAGCCCCCGTCACGTCTGCGCAGTTTCCTGCTGGGGGGCCGCCCTCGCCCCCACAGCCTGAGCCCCCTGCGTCTGTGCACGGCGCCGGTGGCGGGTCCGGCCCTGCACCTTCCCCCACGTGCACCGGCCACTGGGGCCCCCTCGGGGACGGGCCTGCCCGCCGCCCACTCTTCACTGCAGCATCTCTCTTCCTCCAGCCGAGTCCTCCATGTTTCGTGGGCACTGGCCGCTTTCCGGTGGCGGTGCGTTCGCCCTTCAGGGCGTCGCTGACGTGTGGACCTGTTTCTGCGCGGCCCCGCCCGGCCGTCTTTCCCTTTGCTGCCTCGTACGCTCCCACGAGCTCTCCCGGGCCCCCGGGTCCCGGAGACCTTCCTCCAGTTCGGTCCCGACGGTGTCGTCGCTCTGCTTCTCACTGCTTTTCTGGGGCCAGGGACGCCAGCAACGCGGGGTGCATAGGGCGAGGGACAGGGCCGTCCTGACGTCGTCTGCACGCAAGCGGGCAGCCGGCTGTCCCTGACCGTCTCTGCCACACGCAGGCTCCAGGAGGAGGGCTGTTTCCGACACTCAGCCCCTGTGCCTCCCCCCGCCCCCCATGGCCTGTTGCTTCCCCAGTCTCACGCCCTCCCGAGTGCCGCTGCGTCAATGGAGCCCGCAGCCTTGCTGTCGGGGCACACCAATGGCGCATCCTCCTGCTCGTCCAGGCCCGATTCAGGCCCTGGGCCGAGGCCCCAGTGCAAACCCTGGGGCTTCCACTGGGTCGGGAGGACCCCGCTCCCTGCGGGGTCTGCTGGTGGGGACGGAGCGCATTCTCCCCCGTCCGCGTTCCCTCTGCTGTCTCCGAAGGTCCCACCACTTCTCCTGAGAGTCCTCCCGGGGCCTCGGACGCGGGGGGTGCTCCCGGCGACACGGAGGCAGAAATGGCGCCGTGTGTCCCCGTCTCCCTCGCCGGCTTCCCCCGGCGGTCGCTTCGCACGCGGCCACGGTCTGGGGGGCAGCGCAGGGAAGCTCACACAGGGATGCCCCGGGACGGCACAGTTCGCTCCCCGTCACTCCGAGTCCCCGAGTCCCCGAGCACGGCCCTCTCCCGTCCCGGCAGCCTCGCTGCGTGGGAGCTGCGGGCCGACGCGGTGTCCTCGTGCCTGCGGCAGCAGCTCGGTCTCCGGGACCCAGACGCTCTGGGCGCCGACCAGGCCGGTGCCGGGCCCCTCAGCGTGGTTTCCTCGTGGGGGGCCGGCAGGAAGGTTTGGAGAGAGAATGCCGTGGACCCGAGCTGCCTGTCTCACGTCTCACGCGTCCCGTCGGGGCAGGTGACGTCAACATGGCGTGTCACCGGCGGCGGCAGCCTTGACGAGCTCAGTCAGAGCGGTGTCGGCCGGGCCTGTGCGCACGGTCCGGCTGTGACGCCGAGTCCCGCGTCCTGCCCACGCTCCAGGGCTGGGGCCAGGCCCCGTCTGCGGCGGGAGGGAGCGTCGGAGGACTGGGGGTCCCAATGTCACAGCCACGGCCGCAGCCAGCACGTCTTCGAGGGACAGGCTTTGCGGCTGCCCCGTCGACCTCCGCCCTCGAACGCCAGCACCTGCCTGCCGCTGTCCGCTCTCCAGCCGGGACCCCCCAACAGACCGGGGGGCTTCTATTTAGGCTGCACGTGGTCAAACCCGCCCTTGGAAAGGCACGGTTCTTGCGTTTCGACCAGTGTCACAAGCCCACCACCACCACGGCGCCGTGCGGAGAGGGCCCGCGGCCCTGGAAGCCCCCTCGGCGGCCCCGTGGGAGGCAGGCACACCCGTCCCCGAGCACCGGCAGCGGCCACTCTGCTTCACGCCCTCCGGCTCCTCCTCTCCCCGAACGTCCGTCACACGAGTGGGGTCGCGACACATGGGCTTCCGCGTCCGGCTCCTTCCCCCGCAGAAGGAGGTGCACGTGAGACCCCTCCCTGCGGCTGCACGGCCACTCGTCCGTCCCCTCTGCCTGCTGAGCGGGGGCCCTGGGACGGAGGTGCCACCGGTCACCCCCTGGGGCACGCTGTGGTTGTCCCGGGCTCTGGTGAAGCTGCTGCGCACATGCGTGTGTCACAAGGCTCCCGTGTGCACAGACCCCAGCTCGTGGGAGCACACGTGTGGGAGAGGGGCCGCTGGCGCGTGTGGGGCGTGTGCGCGCTGACCTGGGAGGGCCCTGCCGCAGGCTCCCACGGCGGCCGGGGGTTCCGGCCGCGCCGCGTCCTCGCGAGCACTGGCTGTCACCGCCCCGGTGTTGTCTCTCCCTTCCGGGAGGCGGGAGGTCAGGCGCTGGGCTCCCCCCCAGGCATCCCCCAGAGCGGCCGTGCGCAGGCCGGCCCTGCTGCCGCGGGCGTCCAGGCGGCCACTGTGCACTCACGGCCTGCGTCTCCTGGCGGCTGCCGGCGCCGGCCGGGCAGGGCCTCGCGCGTGCGTCTGTTTGTAATCCACAGTGTCGGGCCTCGCGCGTCCTGGGGCGTCCCGGACACGCGTCCTTGGCCGGGCGGGGGCGCGGAAACACCGTCTCGGAGCCCGCGGTTTATCTCGGGTGCGTCCCAGTTTGTCACTGTCCCCCTCACAGACCGAGCTGCCCGCGCCCCAGGGGCAGGGGCGCCCACCGGGTTTCTCTGTCGGACCCGAGAGCCGCCTCTTGTGTCTCCGTGTTCTGACAGTCTTCCAGGTGCTGGGTGTCCGAGTTCAGAGGAAAACGTACACACGTTCACACATTTGAATCGCAAGTAGACTTAGGAGACGGGTGCATTTCAAAAAGCAAAAGGCGCACCACTTTAGAAACACAAAACGTTTTCTGCAACTGGAAACCGCCGTCGTGAAGGTGAAACCGCCGAAGACACTGGGGACGGCGTCGATGCCTCACTCTGCGAAAGGATGACACTTCTAACACGTACGTGCTGAGTTGGCCAGACAGCTCTTTTCTTGTCTCCACGGGACAGCTTTCGTTTTCGCCCAGCTGTCCACAACGACGCCCTTCAGGACGGCTTTGTTGGGGGGGCAGCCGCCCCGTCCGTGTGCATTCCTCAAAATCAAAACGGGTGGACTTCTGTGCAGCCGCTTTAACACTGGAGATGGAGGAGAACGGGCCCCGTTTTCGGCGTGTGTGCGTGCTTTGTTGCTCCAAGGAAGGTGAGAACACACCTGGGACACAGAGGACGGCGTGTGCCGTGTGCGGAGGAGGCGCTGCGACGGACCGGACGTGTCGGAGGTGGTCTGCGAAGTCTCCTGCTGGACCTTTCCCGCCGGACGGCGGTGCCCCGTGGCCGGGCAGACCAGGCGGCGCTGGCGGCGATCAACCTGCAGCGCTGACTGAGAGCGGCCAGCCCTCCACCACACGGGGGGGGCCGCGGGGGGGGGCCGGCACACGCGGAGTGTCCAAATCAAAGTTACTGGCGGAATGAAAAATGCGTCTTTCTTTACGGGGGATAAGCGGAACAAACTTTTGGGCCACCCCGAAGTAAAACGTCCCGACCACGTGAGCAAGAACGTGCAAAGGACACAGACGATTCCCCAGGACACCCAAACGGCCTCCAAGCCACTGAAGCCACTCAGGGTGGCAGGACGTTCTGCAGCTGGTCTTCCGCGGCGCCAGGGGGCCTCGCGGAGGCCGGGAGTGGACGGGCGGACGGGCGGACGGGCAGGCGGACACGCACGCAGCTGCCAGCACCGGCGCACATGGAGGGTGAGGTCCAAACCGCTACGACGTCTAGAGGAGACAACCCAGCGACAGGCACTCGAGTGACCGAGTGACCGAGCGAGCACCCTACCCTGCCCCCGGCCCCGGCCCAGTGGGCCTCCCGGACCCCAGCCCAGCACGCTGGCGTCTCACGGCGGTGCCGTCACGCCAACGGAGCCTGTACGTCCATCGGATGTGGGGTGCTGGGGTTCCCGGGGGTAGGGCCGACTCAGGGACCACTACAGGAGACGCCCAGGTCCCCACAGAGAAGCAGGGTGGACGAGCCACAGGAGGACAAGGACGGAGCCACCAGGCGCACAGAAGCCAGTCCCGCCCGGTGCCGGCTGCCCCGATGAGCCAGGCCCGGGCTCAGAGCGGCCGGCGGTCAGTGCTGACGACCTCGGAGGGGGAGGACCCTCCTAAATCTGCTGACTTCTCGCCAGGAGGACTTCGTGGTTTTTCAACAAAAACACTAAAAAACCCAGTGAACCCAGGCAGAACTTCAGGGGGCCGAGAGGTGCTCCCTGCCAGCCCTGAGCCCCGGGGCGGGTCGCTGGGGGCCGGCCCGGGAATCTGAGCACCGCCTGCTCAGGGGGTCCCGGTGCCGTCCTCGGGGTGTGGGGTGGTGGACACGGCGTCTCTGCCTGAGCGCGGCTGGGAGCTGCGTGGCTGGCCCTCCCTCCTGGACGTTCCCATCCCCGTGGGCAGGAGTCCCACTGTCCTGGGTATCCAGTGACACGCCACCAGCCCACGGCCAGCATGAGAATGAGAGCGTTGGGGGGGTGGGGGGGTGCAGGGGCAGTATCTCCCACTGGGCTGCACTTACCTGGGTGTCATTCTTGACCCAAACGTGCGGTCAAGAGGCCCCGCCCATCCCACGGTCTGAGGGGCATCGCTGGCCCTCGCCTGCCCCTGGGCCACGGGAAGCCTCAGGCACGCGGGGGCCACCCTGACCCGCTCCCCATCCTCGGGCCCGAGGCTCGGGGCATGATCCCTGCTCTGCGCCCGGGGTCTCTCGTCCGCCCGTGGGCAGGCTCGGGGTGAAGGTCGGCAGTGCCCGCCCGCCCGCCTGCCCACTGGAGCCTGACGCCCCCACGCCCTCTCCCGCAGTGAGGAGGAGCCCCGCCCTGCTGGACGTGAGCCCCACGCGCTTCGTGAGGACCAGCAGCTTTGCCGAGGACCTGGACCTCGAGGGGGAGACGCTGCTGGCCCCGATCACCCACGTGTCACAGTGAGTGCCGCTGCCCGCCGGGGGCAGCCTGGGGACGGGCGGGCGGGGGGCTCCGAGTCACTGCGCCTGGGTGCCGGGCCGGGGCTCGGGCCGCCTGTCCCTGGGGCCGCTGCTCACCAGGGGCCCCCTGGCGTCCGGCGGGCACCTGGGGACATGCCCCGCCGCACCAGAGAACACGGCCGCGGCTCTGACTCGGGGAAACCAGGCCGGCCGTTCCCACTCTGTTCGTGCGCCGAGCGTCTGGGAAGGTCTTTTGCTCCCCCCACGCCCCTCCTCTGCGCCCCAGAAAGAGACGGCTCCGTGTTCGAGCACTTCCCCCGTGCGGCGCCGGCCAAGCCCCGGGCAGAGGCCCAGAGTACCTGCTAGCTGCCCGCTGTCCCCGGCCCCTTCAGGTGGAGGGAACGGCCGACTCCCTGCCTCTCCCAGCTGCCCTGTCCCCTGGCACGGCTGGCCTGGGGCACAGGCCTGGCCTCCCCGACCACGGTGGGCACGGGCTGATCCCCAGGGGCCGCCGTGGTGCGCAGTCCCACGCCTCCGACAGGGCACCCTGCTGCGACAGCTGGGCTGGGGCTGGGGGGACAGCGAGGCCCGCTCTGGCCTCGCCCACCCGTGGCTCCCTGGGGACGCCCCCCGGGCACGCTCAGCCCTTCCGGGTCACCTGCTGGCACCACCCCCTGCCCTCTGTGGCCCGAGGTTGCCCTGACCCCGGGGCACCTGGCAGGGCGAGGCCCGAGGCCTGTGGCCGTGCCATCGTGGCCACCGGAGCCAGTGTGCACCCGTCCGGTGGCCCGGAGGGCTGTCTATCTTGGTGTCTGTGGGGGGCACGGGGGTGCTGACCCACAGGACCCCCGAGCCACATCCCAGGCCCCAGTGCCCCCCTGGGAGGCTGTGTAGAGCCCGTGCTCACAGGCTGGGGGGCGCCGGGAGGCGGGGTACCAGGAGGCCCCACAGCCCTGGCACTGAAATGGGCTGCGGGGCCGGGCCTGGGGACAGGGCTCTGCCCTCCGGGCAAGTGCCCAGCTTGGTAACTGGGCTCTGGGTGGGATGACTGGCGGGAGCCGAAGTGTGGCCGCGGTACAGCAGCCGGCAGCGCTGCGCCGTACGGCCCCCAGCCGTCTCCCGTCCCTTCTCCCAGAGAGAGGCCGTCCGACAACCGGCTGGGGCAGCACTCCGCCCGCCACAGGCGTCCGCAGCCCGAGTCCTGCGGTGTGGCCCATGGGCTGGGGGGTCGCCTGCCTCGCCCCGGCTGGACCCCCCCCCCCGCCCCCGACAACCGGAGAAGGCTTTCGTAGCGCGGGCGTGTCCCGAGGCAGCGGGAGAGGTGGGGGATGGTGCCCGGGAGTGGCACTGAAGGGGGAGGGGTGCTGCAGCGACAGTGGTGAGCATGGGTGGGGCCGAGGCGTGCGAGGAGCGGCCACCGGGAGGCGCTGCACAGTCCAGTTGAGGCCAAGTCCAGGCTGACAGGGCAGGGGTCTGCGTGCCAGGCCCCTGGAAGTCGGGGCTCCCCCCGTCGAGCGTGGGAGGTGCTGGGGCCCCAGAGCCTCTGTGCCCCCGAGGCCTGCCAGCCACGCACAGGCAGTGGAGGCGGTGGCGGTGGTGGCGGCAGAGGTGGCAGCAAACACGGCGTTTACTCGGGGCTGGCACTGCAGGGCGGGGAGCGGGGGCCGGGCCTTCGGGCCCGCACCGGTGCTGCGTCCCTTCCCCTCCCGCACGGCCGGCCTGGGGGTCTCACCCCTCACGAGATTTGGCTCCGGCCGCCCAGCGACGGTCAGGTCCCACCGACGGCCCAGCCCTGTGACCCGCCCCCCAGCCTGGAGAGGGGCACGTGCATCCCGCGTGCGAGGGACGGGGGCGCACAAGGGGCAGAGGGGGCGGGCGGGAGGGGGGTTGCTGAGAAACAGATCTATTTTTCTCCAGCACGTTCCTGATGTTCAATGTATCACCACGCTGGGCTAGTTCCAGAATTCAAATTAAAAGCATAAAGAAAGACATTTTGTTTCCATCTCGAGCTCTCCCCACCCGAAGGGCCCCAGGGAGGTGAGGTCACCGCAGCCGTGATTACGGGAAGGCCCCTGGGGCTGGGAGAAGCCCCCCTTTCCAGGGCCTGTTGGCCTTCCGTCGAGCGAGGGGTGGGGGCCCGGAGATCTGCGACCCAGCCCGGCGCAGAGCAGGGGCCGCCGGCGAGTGGGGGCTGGGGTGCAGCGGGATGAGGGGACAGGGTGGCTGTAACCCCCCGCGTGCCACAGGCAAGCTCTGCACCCACCTTCCCGGCAGGTCCCCCCCCACCCACCCACTCTCAGCCTGGCTGCAGGGCCATCACGGCGCCAGCACAGCAGGGATGGGGCAGGAGGTCGCAGGGTGGGGCCGGGGGGTCCCCACCTACCACACGGGAGGGGGCCCCTCCCCACACGGGGCAGCTGCCCACCTCGAGGGCTGCGCGCAGGGCGGTGGGAGGGGGACAGCCACCCCGTGGGTATCCCCACACCTTGCCCCGGGGCGCCCTGTCTGAAACCCCCTGTCCCCCCATCGTCCCCCCACCTCGGTGGCTCAGGCAGCACATGCTCCACCAGCGCTCTAGGCCACCGGCACCCCGAGCCGTCAGAACGGGTCTGGGGACCCCCAGCTCAGCCTGGCCCACCCCGGCACCCCAAAGCCTCGGCCAGGAGCCGCTCAGGAGTGTGCTGCCCCCGACCCCACCCTGATGCAGAAGCAGCCCCAGGCAGGGCTGGCCGGGACGAGAGGGAGGTGAGGCCTTCGTGCCGTGGAGCTGGCAGGCAGGGCCAGGAGCGTGGGGACCTGGGCTCCGAGGTCAGGGGCCGCGTGTGGCCATGGTCCAGGCATCCTCCTCCCAGCAGCCTGGGGAGCCCCTCCCCCAGCCACCCAGTCGTCCAGGCACCCGCTCGCACCCCATCCAGTGCACGCGGATCCCCCAGGTGGACGGCGCGGGAGGCCCGGCCCGCCACGGGCGCCGTGGCACGTGGCTTCCCTGAGGGGTCCTTCCAGGAGACTCGGCCCCTGGGCTCCCCCAGCTCGGCCGGTGCTCCCCGGCCACCCCGTCCTGCTCTGCAGGGGACACCGCGCGGCTACCCGCCGCGTGCCGAGGGGGGCCCTCGGACGGCTGGGGGCTGCCTGGGCTGCGAGCACGGCCGGCAGGGGTGTGCTCAAGGGCCCCCCCCGCGACACGACAGCATGCAGATCCCCAAGCAAAACCGGCCCCGCGTGTGTTAACCGGAGTTTCCACGTCCCCGCTCTCTCCTGGCCCCGCCGAGCCTCACGCCAGAATGTTCCAGCCCCCCCCCCCCGCCCCTTCAGCGGGGCCGCTGCGGCCTGGCCTCCCGCCACACCGCTGCTCACGTCTCCGAATTCTGCGTCCGTCAGCGGGGCCGGGGCCAGCCCGCCCGTGCCTCCTAGAAACGGGGGCAGACGTCCCCCGAGCGACCCTGCACCCCGCTCCACGGCCCTGGGCCTCGCCCCCCAGATGGGACGGGCCCGCCTGGGGCAGCTCGGTGACACGGGGGTCCGGGGGGCACACACGCTGCCCCTCTGCGGGCTGCCGCCGAGAAGCGGGGTGGGGCAGCACGGCAGCATGGAGAGGCTGTCCCGGGGCCGGCGTCCGGGGGGACGGGAGGGGGTTTTGGGGAACAGACGAGACCAGCTTGTCCCGTTCCAGGCCGGTGGGTGTCCCGCGCCCCTCAGACCCCTCTGTCTGCGCGCGGTGCCCAGGCAGCCCCATGGGGGACTGTGCAGGGCTGCACGAGTCCCAGGCTCCCCGTCAGGGCCTCACAGCCCCGGCCGGGCCCAGACCCCGAGTCTCGGGTGCGTGGGGGGACGGCGGGACGGGGGACGGGAAGGGATTCCACGTTCTAATTGCATTAAGAGCGAGGAAGAATGGTTCGGTGGGAATGAGACGGGACTGGGAACGGGTTGCCCTCGAGCTGGCCCCCCGCCGGCACCGGCCCGGCTGCGGGGGGGCCCCCAGCCTCTGGAAGCGCCCCTCGGCCCCCCTGAGCACGTGAGGGGGATGCCTGGGCGGCCTGGCGCCGCCGTCCAGAGAGCGGGGAGGCCTCTCCTGTCCTCGGCCCCGTCACCGCAGCCCCCGGCCCCAGCCGATGTGTCTGCTCCCCTGGAGGCCACGTGACCAGCACCCACTCAAGGTGGCAGGGCCTCCCAGGTCCCGTCCCTGACGCCCGGGGGTGACCCCTGTCTGGCTTAGAGCAGCAGGATGCAGCTTCCCCTCCCCCCCCAGCTGGCACGCCACTGTGAGAACGCCCACACTTGGCCCGTCCCCTCCCCGGTGGCTGACCGCCAGGGCGCGTCCCCACGGTGGGGTTGTCACCGTGTGTGCTAAGAGTCTCCTGTGCGGGCTCCTGGCAAACATCGGGCTGTGTTTCCAGGGAGCAGGTGCCCCAGTGCGGAGCCGCCGGGGCGTCCCGTGGGCGCGGTCACGCCCGGCCGACACTGCCGGACCGTGTCCCGGGGCGGCGCCGGGGCTCCGGCTGCTCCCCGTCCGTCCTCACCGACACCCGGCCGTTCCGGGAGTTTGCTTTCTAGCCACGTCGGTGGGTACCCAAAAGCAGCTGATTGCAGCTCTAATGTGCGGCGACCCGACCCGACCCGACAGCCAACGCAGCCGGACCCCTCCCCACGTTGTCATTGTTGAGTCCCGCGGTGGCCTCCGCACGGCGCCCACGTCTCCGCCTGGTGTACTCCGCGCTGTCTCTCCCCGTCGTCCGCAGTTCTTCCCGAAGACAGGAGTCTCGTGTCGGAAGCCCCCCCACCCTGCACGCCCTGCAGACCACCGGCCCTCCCCGCCGCGGGCTGCCCTTCTCCCCCCTCCGGGGAGCCTTCCCGCGGGCTCCCACCGACCGAACGTCTCCCGGTCAGACGTCTCCTGGCGGGCCCGTGCCGCCTGCGCCCCGTCTGCACCGCGTGGGCAGCTCCGAGGTCATAGAGACGTGGTCGCCCACGGCAGCTGCCAGCTGGCCTGTCGCGTGCGGGTC